GGTATCGCAGGGCTTGTGTTCAAGTCACTTTTATTTGACTTAATAGTCCCAAAGCACAAGAATAGTGATGCTGGGAATTCAGATATGACAAAGAGAAGCCATAAAGTGATTCCTTTAAATGGAAAGGTGAGTACAGTATAGTAAGATGTTTGCATAACTTTTATTACAGTATATTGTTATACTTGTTCTATTCTTAGGTATTGTTAAAATCTTTCTGGGCCTCATTTATAAATTAAACTTGATCATTAGTTTGTATGTAGGACAAACATAGTATATAGGATTCGATACTATCGTAGATTTCAGCCATCCACTGAGGGTCTTGGACTGCATCCCTCATGAATAAGGGGGAACTACTGTCATTTAATCCTGACAGTAGACTGGGATCGGCACTTCAGATCCACAGGCCTTTATCCAAAGGAGCAAATGTGTTTGTAACTTCTTTGGATTTTTAGAAAGGTGTATGGCTCATAGTAGAAAACACTCCCATGGGACTGTGCTTCATAATCAAATACATGACTATGTCTGTGGTGAGATACATGAATTTTTACATTAAGTGAAATAAATACCTTTACATGAATTGGGTTAGATTTGCTGCCAAATGAGTTTGGATCAGTTCTTCTCACCCAGTAAGTTTTGAAATAATTTTAGGTTGATGGATTTCGAGTTGCCGGTAAGGGAATATGGACTCAGTTTGCTATCCCTAGTTTACAAATAAAGAAACTGAGGCACAGGGATTAAATAACTTGCTTAAAGTTACACATTTTCCACACACAGAGAAGCCAAGTTGGAGCCATGCTCTTACCAGCCCGTGTGCTGCCTCGCACTGTGCTCTGCCTCCTCTCCCTGAGGAGTGAGGCCCGTCCCCCACGTCTTCCCATCTCCACGAGTCTTTGATTTCCTACCTCTGACTCAGCCAGACTCAGGCTCTTCCCAGAGAGATACCGGGAGCTCTTCCCAGAGGCCAGGTTGAAGTGACAGAGCCCCGGGGACCTTCTCTTGCTTCTTCAAGTGGTTTGTGTCTCACAGGAGGCACTTTGGTGTAATGGCTCCCCAACCGCTAGACACAGGCAGCTGGAGGTAAACCGTGTCGTCCTGCTTTGTCTTCAGTGACCTTTCCGTTTGTATCTTTCGCCGTCACCTGTTACCCAGAACACCACCCCACGAACCCTGGCGGCTTGTTTTTCTCCTTTCTACCCATTATCTTTTCTCCTACCACCTAGAGATGTATTACGGAGTAACAGAAAGAAAATGGATTTGAATATTCAGATATCTGAGTCTAAGTCCAAATGTGCAAACTTGGGCAAAGCCAGTTAACCTCATTTATCAATTAGTAAAATGGGATGGATAATCCTTATCCAGAGACGAATTTAGGTTTTATGGAGCCTGAAATTTATACTAAATGGGAGAGCTCTTTTTAAACAAAAGAATGCAAAATTGGGAGTACAAATAAGGTGGGTACAAGATGTGTTTGTTTAGAAATAATGCTCGTGGTCATATTAGAGGCACTGGAAGTTGAGTGGAAAGACACAGCCAGCTTACAGGCTGTGTTTTGTGTAATTTACAAAAACGTGTGACGTGAACATATTGCTACGGCTCCTTCCTGGAGTTAGGAAGGGGTCCATTCATTGAGGGGTCCTGAAGCTTAAGATTCATTAGCATCATGGTACATTTGCTTCTGTATCAACCTCATGGAATGGTGAGCATTAAATCACAGGACTAAATATATGCAAACCTGTTTTGTAATCACTAAACACTGTGTGATATTAATCATTATTTTGATGCCCAGAACTAAGCACAAGTGTTTATTCAGTAAATGATAAGACAGATGAAATTTGTTCTTGCCAAAGTATTATACAGGGTTATTGTGTTAACTTTCCTTAGACCTTTAAAAAATTATCAGAATAATATATGCACAGAATTTTTAAAGAAGAGTCAAATGTTGATAAAGGACTTGTAAAATAGCAATTCCATTTCCCACCCTTTATATTTTCTAAGTCTACTTTGCAGAGTCAATATATTTCTTCCATATTACTAAATAATATGTATTATATTGCTTTATTTTGATCTATCAATGTTGATATTATCTATTGATTTTATTATGGTAGATAAGGATTTCACTTTCTTCTTCTCAGTCTCCCAGTATAATTTTTGACTGTCATAATATGAAGTATTTTTTACAGCTGAACCATAGTAGACTATGACTCTATTTCTTTTTATATACATCTTTTATTTAAAAACAATTTTTTTCTCTATTGATTTTAGAGAGAGAGGAAGGGAGAGGGAGAGAGAGAGAAACATCGATGAGAGAGAACATCAATTGGCTGCCTCCTGCATGCCCCCATGGGGGTTTGGGCCCACAACCTGGGCACATGTTCTGACTGGGAATCGAACCAGTGACCTCTTGGTGCATGGGTCGTTGCTCAACCACTGAGCCACACCAGCCAGACTCATATACATCTTTTAAAAAATTTTTTTCCAGAGTTAATAACTGATTTTTTTCCATTTGCTTAGTTTTTTATTGTATTATACTTGAGTTTTTCTATCTCACAACAGCATTGTATATATATTTTCCACACAGTGAAATTCCCACACTGCAGAGAGCCATGAGCCCTCTACTCCTCTACTCCAGGTGGGTCTTGTTCTCTATGCAACAGTGTGGAACCTCCATGTCCTCTCATGCTAGAAATTTGCTTCATTCCACTTCTGTGTTGTTTTCCTGTTTTGTGAATTTCTCATCTTCCCCTTTCTTGGTTTAGTCCCTTTTTTGGTGGATCTTGTTCTCCAGTAGCTTCCTGAGAAAAGGTATGTATGGCAGATAAATTAACGGAGACTCTGCATGTCTCAAAATGTCTTTATTCTAGCCTTATAATTGACTGACTGTTTTGATGGATATGGAATTCCAGGTTTAAAATCATGTCACTCAGAATTTGGACAACATCCTTACTGTCTTATAGCTTGTGATATTGCTCTGAGAAGTTCTGCCATTCTAATTCCCAATTCTTTGTACTTGGTGACTTTTCCACTTTGGAGGTGATCTAAAATTCCACAATAGCATATGTGGTACATTAGCTTATTGCTAAAAAAAAAAAAAAAAAATAGTTTTCCCTTGCCCCTCCTCCCCAATTATGTGGGTGGCATGTACTCCCCTGCCCTTCAGTTCTAGGCTTGGCCACACGACTTACTTTATTTTAGCTAATGGGATATTAGCAGATAGGCTGCAAATACAGGCTTACAGGCACATGAGGCAACTTGCTATCTCATGCTCTGTCACTAGAAGCAGCAGAGTATGCTGATGACTAGCCCACTGGTTCTGTGAGGAGGAGGAGGAGTAATACATGGAGCAAAGCCAATCAGTCCTAGCCAAGTTCAACCTAAATCAGCAGAGCTGCCCAGCTGAGCCCAGCTGAGATCCGCCAACCCACAGCTGACTCACAGATCAATGATAATAAATTGTTATTTTAAGCCACTGAGTTTTTCAGTGTCTGTCATTGTAGCATTTTGTGGCAGTGCTATAATGCTATATTTGGTATCAGAAATTAGTATCTAATTGGTATTAGCAGTTGGTATCAATAACAGGATTATAGACGTAAGAAAAATAAAACATAAGTGGCATTGGTTGAGGGACTCAGTCAGTGGTGGGCACAAGAAAGCTAAATAGGAGGCCAAAAAGAAAATGGACATCTGTGTTATGTAGGGATTAACTATTTTATAATATTTGGTAACTTTGAAGTTAGAATATGCACCTAAAATGTTTGGATTTGTGCCAAGAGATCTCCATACAAAATGATGACGGTATGAGCTTGTTGGACTTAGCTGCAAATAAAAAGACTATAAGAAAGAGATGAGTTCATAAACGAACCAGCCGGTTTTCAAGGAAAATATAAACAGACTAGAGAGAGCCCAGGAATTCTGGGATTTGCTAGGAAAATAAGACTTTTTCATCTCCCGCTGACTACTTAGTGGCAAGTCAGCTAATGTGCCCCTTCTGTCTTGGAAGGCTCAGCAGTTCGTTCTCACAGGGTTAGATAACCTGTGCTAGCTATAGGTTTGCCCACAGAGCTTCAGCGAGCATCACTGTCCGGGGACTCACGGAATGCCTGATCTATAGTCATGGAATCACACCCAACATGGTATCAACCGGGGAATCCACTTCATACCAAAAAAGGCATGAGAATAGGCCCATGGCCATGGGATGCACTGCTCATATCACACACCGTCTAGAAGGAGACAGCATCGTAAAGCACTGGGATGGTTACTAAGGCACAACTGCAGTTCTGGCTTGGAGACAGTACTCTGAACAGATAGGCTGTCATCCTTCACAAAGCACTATGCACATTAAACTGGATCCTTTATATGGTGCTGCATCCTCAATAGAGAGAATATATTGGTTTGGGACCCAAGGGGTGGAAGCAGGAGTGGACCCATTTATGACCCACTGGGGAACCTTGTGTTTCTTATCTCTGTAACTCTGGGCTCTGAGGGATTACAGGTCTTGCTACCCACCTGAGTTGCACTCTTGACAGAAGACACTGAAAGGGTCCCATTGAACTATATAGTATGGCTTCCACTAGGGCATTTTGGGTGCCTTATAGCTAAAGAGCAGCAGGTGAAAGAGGATTCATCACCTTGGCAGGGATATTTGACCTTAACGAACAGAAGGAGGTTGGGCTGCTTTCACACAGTAGGGTCAAGGGGAAATGTGTGTGGGTCCCAGGTGAGCCTCATGGGCATCTCTTTCTACCCCCTTGCTCAGTCTTTGGATGGACATGGGCAACAAATTCTGCCTGAAAAGAGTGTGATTATTAAGACTCCTATAAAACGAAAGTTTGGGTCATACCACCAGGTAAGTGCCAGGAGATGCAGAATTAATAGCTGAGGGGGAGGGGCATTTAAATTGAATGATGCAGGTGGGAAAGGATGAGTACCAGTTGTGATCTCAAGACAAATGACAGCACGGGGCTATCGTTCTTCCCACTAACTTCCCTCTTGTTTCTCCTCAGGAAGAGAGGCCCATAGGAAACATGGAGAACTGGATCTTTGCATGGCAAGCAATGGATTTGTCAGTCATGGGGATGCACTGCTTAGATGTCCCGTTAAGACAATATGTAATGGAAAGGGTAGTTGACTGACAGCCCAGCTGCCACACCTCTGGACCCACCATGTGAACAAAAAGGTCATACTTCCCTTAGACAACTTCCAGCCTGTAACTGAATAAGGTGAGGGTGTTATGTCCTGACCATGCCTACCTGATGTGAGGTACCTCTAGCAAACAATTTTTGTCTCAGAGACTGCCTTTTTGCCTGGCTGAGACTTTGCAGAATGGTGCTGTTGTCTGAAACTTTTTCTATTCAAATCTTTCTTTCCTCTCTCCTTTCACAGGTTTCAGATCTGCAATGTGGTCTGAAGATTCTCCCTACCTACTCTTGCTCTCTATCCTTTTATTCTCCACTGGCATTTCCCCCAGTAAATCTATTGCACATCTAATCTTGTCCTGATACTTGCTCCAATGATCTGTCCCATAGTGATTTTTGGCGGTAGCAATTGATAGAGTATGACTTGGTGTGGTTTTCATTCATTGCACTGAGCACTTGGAGACCTTTTCAATTGAGGGACTCAAGACTTTCAGTTAGAAGAAATTTTTCTTCTTATAAAATCTTCTATCCAAGTTTCTCTTTCTGGAACTCCTATTAGTTGGATATTGGACCTCCAAGATCAAGCTTCTAATTTTCTTATCTTTTCTCTTCTATTGCTCATATCTTTGTATTTTTGTTCTGCTTTCTGGGAGACTTCCTCAACTTTATCATCCAACTTTTCTATCAACTTTTTAATTTCAGTTCTCTTATGTTGAATTGCTAAGAGCTCATTCTTATTTTCTAATTATTTGTGTTCTGTAGCATCCTGTTTTTATTTCAGGCATGTACTTTATCTAAGGATGTTGTTTCTAGCTTTTTGTTTTTTGCCTTTGAAGCATTTATTCCCTACATTGTCTCTACTTTTTCCAAGTGGTCTTTTATGTTTGTTTTTGTTGGTTTGATTTGGTTTGGTTTTGGTTTCTGCCTTTCATGCAGGAAACTTTCCAAATGTCTATTGGTTCTTGACTATCTGTTCTTATTTAAGAGTTAGGCAGTAATCAGCTAAATAGAAAATCTGTGAGCTTGGGAGAGGCTTGTCACCCACTGGCTCCACTGCAATGTATATGGCAGTCAGCTGGCTTTTCAATGGGGAACTCACATGTCAATTTCTATTGGACTTCTCTCTCGAGCCATTCATGTCTGGAGAGAAGACTCTTTCAACCTGCTTCTTAAAGGGTATAAGGCTAGCTGCTGGCATTTTTGCTGCTAAGTTGAGGAGGACGTTTGCATCATTCAATATATTTATAGTAGATCTACCCCTCACCATGCTAATTTTTTTGTGGGGGGCAGGCTTCATTATTTTCCCAAAAATATATATAGGGAAGGGTTTTTTATCATCTTGTTTGAGTTGTGGGTGAGGATCAAATACTCATTCAGTAGAGTTTGAACAAATCTTCCTATTTTCATCAATTGTCTCACCCCAACTAGTACCTCAAAGCCTTAGCTTTTCAGAGGTTGTGAAGTGCAAAATCAGTTTGCTTCTTGGTAATGTCACTCTCTGGAGGTTCTTAAGTTCTACCTTTCTCCACTCTTTAAAGGCCAGAATCTTCCAGATAATTTATGTCTTTAAAAAAAAATTTTTTTTTCTTTATCGATTTTTAGAGAAGAAAGGAGAGGGAGAGAGAGATAGAACCATCGATGAGAGAGAACATTGGCCGCCTGCTGCATGCCCCCCACTGGGGATCGGGCCCACAACCCTGGCATGTGTCCTGACCGGGAATCAAACCAGTGACCTCTTGGTGCATGGGTCGATGTTCAGCCACTGAGCCACACTGGCTGGGCGATAAATTCTGTCTTTATATATTATGCTTTACAAACAGAAGGGTCTACATATTTCATCAGTGATACATGTGTGTTTCTGTTTCTCATCTTACTTGTTGCTGAGAGGGGAAAGGAGAAAAAATGTCTGTTCTCCACCATATGAAAACTGAAAGTCTCCCCTAGGCTTTTTTCATGTTAAAGTAGTAAATGCCTAACTCACAGGTAGCTTGTGTAGATTGTCCCAGCAGAGCCTGGCCTAGAAGGATGGAGAGGACCAGCAGTATAGTTGTACTGGATGCAACTGGACTGAAGTCAAGAGCAGGGCCATCGTCGGGTGGGAAAGAGTACCTCTCCAAACAGCCTCTTCAAAAATGGGGTAAGAACTGTCAGTGGTTGACGGTGGGTCAGTCAGATGTGGACGAAGGAACATATACAAGATGCTCTGGAATTGAGGGGATGGTCAAGGCAGAGTCAAGGTGGAAGCAGCTTATTTGAGTTTCTGTCCAAGCTCTTTTGTAGCCGTGTCAGGCCCGCCTTGATGCCACTGCCTTAGGGAAGATTGCTTCCTGGTTCTCTGTGTTTCAACACAAAGTGAGAGGCACCGGTGGTCAGATTCCAGCATCTGCAAGTGCCCTCTGTGCACCCTGCAGAAAGGACCTCCTTACTGAAATTTCAAAAAGTCATACTCTTGCTCCAGCTATGAGTTCTACTTTTTCCTCACACTTCCCGGATCTTGTCCGATTTGGGCATTTCCCCCTTGCAGGAGTGAAATAGGGTGTGGTGGACGTGGTAGAGATGGGTCATCGTTAAAGCAAAGGGGAGGCTTCAAAGTCTGAGATGGCTAAGGGGGGATGCCAAACCTACAGACAAGCCAGAGCAGAGGCACAGACTTGCTGCCCACCCAGGAGTCATTGAAGTAAGAAGAGTTGCCCAGGTAGCAGAAAGAGTCCTTCCGTTTTCCTTAAGTTGCCCATGTTGATAGTCACCAAGTTTGTAAAACCGTATGTCTGATCACCTGATATGACAAGTCCAAGGGCACTCATGAAGGTCGCAGTCTGAATGTCTGAAAGAGGCGCCATCCTTGGAATGTGGAGGCTAAGGGTGCTACTTCCTTAGGCCTTCTCATCCTGAAGCCCCCGTGATTGCTTGTTCCCGCTCTTCTCCAGCCCTTCACCTTCTGGCCCTACTTTTGGGTCCTAAATGGATTAAGTTAGGAGTTTCCTATGACAGTTGACATTTTTTCCCTTTTGCCTCTCAAGTTTTCTTTGTTTTTGCCCCCCTGCCCCCGCACCTATATTTTGAATAGGACAGTTGTGTGAGGATTGTCTGCCTGAGAGCCCTTCCCAGGCCAAGGTGCTTCCAGACCAGGGGCACATGCTGTCACTCTCAAGTCTGTTGTGATTAGTTATGAGATTTCCTCACCTCCTGTGAGCTTGCTTATAAAAGACTCTAGTGTGGAGCTTATTCAGAAAAAACAAACTACTTTTTAGTTTCTATTTGGCTGAGAGGAATGAAGATTCATGGTTTAGGAAGCTCAAAACAGGAAAATCTTGTTTTTTAAATTGATCAATTTTCAATTTTTCTAGCTGCTTTTACATCTTCATCTTTCCTAGTCTGTCCATCCACCAGTCTACAAGATTATATAAATATAATTCTTGTTGAATTTTTAAAACATTAACCATAATCCACCCCACCCAAAGTCTTGGTGCTGCAGTCCTAGCAGAGAACATTTTAACACTCACCAAAGTGATTTGTTTTTATTTAGGTACTTTGAGCTGAATTGGAAGGGTGAAGTGGTCATAGGTAAAACTAATGATTAGTTACCCCAAGCTTGCAACAGAGGCAAAGCAATGTCAAGTCCTTAATGAAAATGAGTCCAACTTCCAGCTTGGAACCAGGTTGTTCCCACTAAGTCAACACATGTCACAATCTGTGTAAAAGGGCAGGACATGCTACACAACAGCACATTTGAAAACATTCCATCAGAACACAGAGGTGTCTGGTCACTGTGAGGCTCACTTGCTTCTGGCATGATAGTTGCCAAGTGAAACAGAGAGCACACTCTGCAGGGAGCCCCATGGGCTGAGCCTGGTGCTCTTCCCCTTTGTTTCTCGGGGGCTAATGTAAGTGAGGTCACGGCCTGCTGACCACAGATGAGTAAGTAACCTCGCAGCTGAGCCAAGCCCAAGCTGTGTACCCACAGGACTGTGATTTATATTAATAGTTGTTGTTTTAATCCACTAAGTCTTGGAGTGGTTTATTACACAGCAGTAGGTACTGATAATAGTGTGCTTGTCAATGTAAGAATCTCTGTCTTGCCCATTTTCTAGACAGCCCTTCAATAACTCTATTGGATAGCCCTTCTGTTATTTATGATTCTGTCCTTTGTGAGTCTTAAACTCTCATTCACTTTTTTGTTTTCCATTTTTACCTCTGTGTTACATTCTGAGTCATTTCCTTGGTTCCAGTTTCCTTATTTTTGACTCAGGTAATAAATATATTTAGTTATAACTTTCAATGGCTATAATTTTTATTTATAAAAGAACTAGTTAGTCCTTTTCCAGATCTGCCTTTTCTTTTTACACAATTTCCTATTTTTCATTATATTTTTTATTCCTTATTTTATCTTGTAAATTATTTAAGACATACTGTACAATGCCATCTGTAGCCCTGGCCGGTTTGTGTCAGTGGTTAGAGTGTCGGCCCGCAGACCAATGAGTCTCTAGTTCGATTCCGGCCAAGGGCACGTACCTTGGTTAGGGTTTGTCCCTGGCCCTGGTTGGGTCATGAGGAAGGCAACCAGTTGGTGTGGCTCTATCACATCGATGTTTCTCTCTGTCTCTCTGTCTCTCCCTTCTTTCCACTCTATCTGATGATAAACAGAAGTATCCTCAGGTGAGGAAAAAAATAAATAAATAAATAAATAAAATGTCATCTATAGATTGATCTACTTTCTCTACTTCTGGATGCATTACTTCTGTTAATTTCATGATCTGACCCTCAAGATGGCTTCCTCCTATGGTTTGTAATTTTTATTATGAAATTATTTTCAGCAGGGATTTTTCCCTCCGGAGAAGAACTGTGTGCCTTCACTGTTCCTTCGCTGTGTCTGCAAGTTTGCTTCTGTAGGAGTCCTAGAGATATCACTGGTTTCCAACCATTATGCTTCTTCTCAGCTGGGTATTTCTACTTCACAATGAAAGTTCAGAACTCATGTCAATGTATAGCGCAGGCTTGGTTTTACGTTTTTTATGGATGAACTTTTTTCCACCTATAGCCTGAGGATGAAGGAGCTTGTCTGATCCTGATTTTGCCAACAGCAT